ATATACAGGAAATACAGATAATTACAACGCTCAGAAGATATACAGAATAAACTAAGTGACACATACGAATGCTCCGAGGATCTAAATATAAACAAAACAATATAACAACAACAAACTCAAGAAACAGTAAATATACAAAAGTAAGACTAAACTTTACAATATAAATCAAAATCCAGGAAAAGTACCAAAACAACCGCAAAACCGCAAAGTATCAAAGAAACAAGAACAAACAAATCAGAGTCCAAACAACACGCACGGGAATATCAAACAGACCAGAAACCACAGGAGCAAGGGAACCAGGGCTTCTCTTGATGACATCTGAGTTAGACTAGGAGTTTAAGTAGGCTTTCAGACAGGTGCAGTCAATTAGTATTGAGGGTTTGCTGAACGAGGAAGTAGAGAGTCATTAAGTGAAGGGGCGTGGTCACCGGGCTTCCATGCACGGACGTGACACTTTGTATCTGGCACATTTGAATGATTTTTTAAAAATGTCTAAATTATGTTGTCTACATCTTTTTAATGTAATAGAACGTTGTTATCAATACACCCGCTCACAGCATGTCCCATGGCATAAATCAGTGTAATGATTGGTAGAAATGAGATGAATCCCAAATAAGCAGAAACATGCATAGATATTTATGATGGCTGGCCTCAGACTTAAAGGGGACCTATGATGCTGATCCTTCTTTTAATACATATTAGTAATGTTATAATGTTAGTTGTCCATACTCAACCACTAAAAAGTTTCTAAACATAAGATACAGCAGTTTTGCCGTAATCCAAGAACGTGATTTTGTGAACGTGATTTCCTCTCTGAACAGCTCTTCCCGAGATCTTCGCGAGATCTGGGCAAAACCTGACGTCAGGTTGTGCCGTCCAATTAGTACAGACCTAGCCAGAGCCAATCACGGCGCTGGACCTGCCCACACCGGACACTATTCTAGCAGGCACTAACAACGGCAGATCATACTATGCCTTAGTAGCGTCGACACTTTTGGAAATACAAAAGAAGAACCAAATCATTTGAGGAGCAGTTTTGTCAGTATCTCTCCCAAAGCTGCTTGTCCGTTTACTTTTGGACGCGAAGAAAAACACTTATTTCTCTTCCAAAAGAGGATGCCACCAGAAATCAATGGGTAGCTTTTTTGTTTGCTAGCAGCAAACAGCCACGGCCAAAGGGAACGTTATCTGATTGTGCTCAGAATTTCACCAAAGACAGCTTTATCAATAAAGGATAATTCGACACAGGATAAGCGTTTCAGCTGCTTCTCAAACCTGAAGCAGCTGCATCGATCAAGCGCTCGGAGCCACAAGCTGTAAGTAACGATATAACAGCAAATATTGTAAGTGAAGCTAACGTGTTACGGGTGGCTAGCAGGACCGCTAACGATAGTTAGCACTAACAACTGGCCTCAAACGCAGGCTTTGTAAAATATCTGAAAATAAAGCCTGTATTGGTCGCGACTGTCCGTGACTCACAGACACAGAAGCTGTAAGTTGCCTTTACTGCATAAGCCAACCTGACGTGATAGCCAGTTGATTGTGGCTGTAGCACAGCAGCTAACGTAGCCAAGTTACTGTTGCTAATGTTTGCGTCCTAAATATGCAAGAGTGATATCCGGGGAAATTCTACAGAAGATGTGTGATCATAAACCTTATTTTAAGCTAACTTTTAATACTTGTTTGTAATTTGGATGCTTGGTACAACTGTTCACAGTAACAGAACTTGCTGTCTGTAAAACCTGTATTGCAAGGGTTTGTCTCTGTGGTTCTTATGACCACTTGGTTACCAGCTACTGCATGTTAGTTTGCGTGCCGTGTTAATTATAAATGCTCCTGGTTAACTTATATGCAGTAATTCTAATCGGTATGCTTGTGTTACTTCGGTAAGCATCAATGTGGCAGTTTTATCATAACGTTGCCCAACTGTAGCCACTACAGTTAGTGATCGCTTCACTTATCCATGACCGGAATCAGCCGGATACTTCACAAATGTCTGAGCAAGCTCTCTGGTGCTACCGTGAAAGCAATGCGAAACGCAGAAGCTCTACCGGTTTACAAATGATTCCTCTGCACTACCGTGACATAATTTCATCCCCCTTTAGAAATTGTTGTGGCTTATAAAAAGCCGAAAAAGGCGAGATAAAATAGGTAATTCTTTCCTGTAGAAGTGATCGATTCGCTGGCTCCACATAAGCAACTTGTCCACGCAAACGGAACTTACGGTCTGCAAAACCTGTATTATGTTCATAACATAACCGAGCTCTCTCTAGCTGTCGCGTACTATCCATAAAGCTGCTTTCACATCGGACACGCAAACGAATTTTTTCAAGGGGACAGATTAGCCTACATTCAGAGTCAATGCAAAGACGCGAATACACGCGTTAAGAGGCGCGTTAAGCAGCTTTCACACCGGACGCGAAACAAATTTTTCGCGCGACAGATTACATTCAAAGTCATGACCGCTTATCAGCTACTGCATGTTAGTTCGCGTGCTCTGCTAATTAAAAATGCTCCTGGTTAACTTATATGCAATAATTCTGATCGGTATGCTTGTGTTACTTCGGTAAGCATCAATGTGAGAGTTTCATCATAACGTTGCCTGATTGTAGCCACTACAGTTGAAGCTAACCGGAGAGGTGCTGTATGTCTGCTGAGTTGGGCTGCAGTTAGACCAGACGTAGGTTTTGCAGAGCTTGGGCTGAATTTTTGGGTGCTTGTGAAACGATCGCTTTACTTATCCATGACCGGGGTCAGCCTGATACATCTCCAATGTCTGGGCAAGCTCTCTGATGCTACCGGTGAAAGCAAAAGGGAAGCGCACAGGCTATAACGTGTCCGGTGTAACAAACGATGGCAACGGTTCATGAAAACGGAACGAAATACCGGTCTGTAAAACCTGTATTATGTTCATGACATAACCGGAGCTCTATCTCGCTCTCGGCACTATCCATAACTCGCCCATTTACCGCAAGGAAAAGCTGGTCATTCCGAAGCAATAAGTAAACCATTACCACGGGCAATTTCGAAAAAGGCAGTTTAGCCTGGAGCTTTAAGCCCCTCGTCATATACCAGCGCAGAAGCTGTTCGTTTCTCCACGCTAACAACACACCACAGCTATGCAGACGAACCAGCAAGTCCTAATACACACTGAAGCAGTCCATAAGCTGTTGGTCCACTTTTAGCTGCTCCTCACTGTCCATGTTTCCCTCTAAACTCAGACCCACCGGATTTCTACGGTCTCCGGTCTACACTTGGGCATGTCGACCCGTTCCACAAATGTCTAAATAAGGTGGATTCTAGCTTTCCCTGCATCCTAGCTACAGAATAGAGGAACCGCTGTACTTACCACTGTCGCCGTAGCAAACTGTAGCCGATAGCAAATTCGTGCTTGAGCTGCCAGACTTTCGCAGTGCGTCCTCCACTTTCGCTGCTGCGTTTATTAGAACAAGTTAATTTCATTAGATCTATACACATGTACTGCGTTAGATTGCGGAATTTGCCCGCCGTTTCCTTATCAGATGGCAGCCGTGTCTCAAGTTTCGCTCTGGGGAGAGGGACACGGAAAACTGCGTTCTGCTGCCTCGTCCCGCCCAACTCCGCCCTCCACAGAGCTGGCCAGTCAGAGGAAAGTGGGCACACGGGAGTGGGGGGCTATAAGCGGAAGAGCCACCCCAGTGAGGCGTTTCAGGCAGAGACCACTATGGACTACAAATGGGGTTTTTGAGGATGGCAGTATGAGCGAAATAAGAACCCTTTTTTTTTTTTACTTTATTGCGCGATCAGGAGTACTCTAGGGGAGTCAAAGACCAAAATATAAACTTGGAAAAATAGCATAATAGGTAACCTTTAAAGCATGCATTGCAATGGATGTATTACAATGGTTAGCACGTCCCTGAAGATAAAGCTGTTTCTTCCTTGCATCCTAAAACTTGCTTGGTGCTATGAACATACAGTCCTCTCTCCACCAAAACAATTTCCAGGACCTTTTCACAAACACTACATGACGGAAACAAACTTGTTGGGACCCCCGTCATGAACTTCATCCACCTGTGTCTCCAATGTACTCCATCAGCAGCAACATGGAGCCAGTACAGCAATGAGCACAATTTGTAAACAGACCATTTGAGTCAAAAATGATGTATAAATAAATAGCAGTCATTTATTCACTGCACAGTAGGGAATTTGAGTGAACCTAAAGATGTAATAAATTAAGCTAACCATATCTAAAAGATTTACACAGATAGTAGATGTCACCCATGAGCAAGCAGAAAGTTGCTGGCCACAAGACAATGACTGAAAGACAAGGTAGTGAGTCTGGAAAGGCTTTTATTCGAGTACGACAGACTCACTGATTTAGGATTTTGTATAACTGGTGATTTGGACCTGACGTTGCATGAAATGCTAGTTTTTTTGTTTTTTTTTTTTTTTTTTTTTTACAAGTGTGAGCTTAAAATTCTAGCAGCATCAAGTCCCCACAATGTAATACATTGGTATTCAATCATATTTTTTTCTGGGGGGCATATTTTAGAAAAATAAATGTCTTGGGGGCGAACCATTTCGCAGTGACATTATTTTTCCCAGTAAGGAGTAATTAAACTTGACGCCAACCAACACACACACATACACACACACACACACGCACACGCACGCACACACACACGCACACACATTAAATTTCAACGACTTGCTACAATTTAATTTCAAAGCACTGCAAAACAGTGCTTTTTTTAAAAATTTTGCCTGTCACTAACTCCAACACTATTAGGGCCACTGCAGTTTTCGCTCCACAAATCACATGTGCAATTGTGATTTGTACTGAAAACACAATACTATGAAAATATTGACACATTGCTTACACATCTGACCAAATGATAAAGGAAGAAACCTAAGGTAGGCTACAAAATAGGAACTGGATGTCACACAGCTATCTGTGACAGTTGATGGGTCCTGTCACTAGAAATGCCTTCTAATAAGTATGCGCCCTTGCCAACTAGCATGGATCTTTGGCGATGTGGTCAGTGCACATGACTCTTACCCAAGTGTCTGGGGTTCAATTCCCTGCCTGGGTCCTCCTTTGGCCTGCCACATATGGATAGATCGTTCATCGCAGAAACATATTTGTGCAAAGCAGACATACTGACTTCCCCTCCACAGCAATTTCAGTGAATACGTTGATGAAACAAAAAATTTTCATTATCAAGTTTTCTTTCTGTTGACAGTGATGTTTTGTTATCTATCCAGCACACATTCACTCCTTTAAAATAAAACATAAGGTGGGTCAGCTAAGATTTGAATGGCAAGCTAGCTATTGCAGGAGACGTGGCTGTGGCACAAACAAACCAGTCTTGCCATCAATAATGTAGCAGGTAATTTTCCACTACTAATATGAGGAAAAATGGATGTGTTCATCACAGCAGTCCTCATTTGTGTTATATTTTCTTTCCTATCGCAGATCCTGTGGCAACGGGATCATTGCAGATTGTCACAGGAAGGGATGCATGCTTTGCATGTTTACTTTTACCTATTGCTATGTTGCAGGGTGATAATGTTTATAAGTAAAATGATCCAACACAGAATGCAGTTTAAAAGACTTGAAAACATGTTTTCTCCAAGTTGTACAAATGATGGGTGTAGTTGATGGCACAGAGCATCCAGCATGAGGAAGTCTTCTAAATCAGATCACATGACTGTCCAGTCAGTCAGACACTACTGCACATTACTCATCATTGGCTATTATTTTCAGTTTCACAGGACCCTTAGTTCTCTTATCAGAAGTTTAGAGTACTTTCATTGTGTCAAACATACGCACAGATAGATAATCTGCCAGATTTTTGTCTGAATTGCTTTGTGGGCCACCGATTGAATAGCCCTGGTGTAATACATTTAAAATCCCACCATCTAACACTCATTTAAAACTTTATACTTTATATTGTTTAAAGGACATCTTCATTTTGAAAATAAGGTACATTGCAGGCTTATGTATTACTATTTCATATGCATGCTTCAGGCAGGAAGAAGCACATATGTGTGTATGTGTGTTTACATATATGTGCGTTGTGTGTGTGTGTGTGTGTGTGTGTGTGTGTGTGTTGCATGCGTGCATGTGCGTGCGCGAGCGTGTGTCGGGGGGGGTCTTCACGCCTTCTCCCCTTTATTTTAATGCATGTTCTGTGGATTACAACACTGAAAAAAAATCAATAAAATGAGACTCTCTGATCTTATAGACCATGTTGCCTCAACCCTGGGTGACATCACAACATATGTATCATTGGGATCACACAGAGAGGAGCTTACTGCTAAAATGCCGCAGAAGCTGGTTAGGAAGCATCTTGTGATTACAGTTGATCTCTGAAGTGTGATATTCTGGACTATATAGAGCTGAGAAATGAATCATTGTACACATAAAATATGCCTGTACGTACAGTATATGGATATACACATATATATGGACATAATCTGACTTCTAATATAATAAACTACGATGGAAACTTCATAATATATTCCCTAATATATTCCCTAAGATGCTAGTAGATTGTTTGGCCATGGGGATTGCTTTGTTCAATAAGGATTTAGTTCTCAGAACTATAAATCTGTGTGAAATAGACCATTCATTCTATATCGTCAGTTTCCATTATTTTCTGTGGAGCTTGGGTTCAATGTGATTTATCCATGAGCAGTAAATAGCAGCTGTGCCTCCTGCCTCACAAACAGCCATGTTCCTGGAATAATGAAATATAATGGAGCTCTTTTGTTAATATAATAAAAATAATAATATCTGAATTAGGATGGCATGAAAATATGGGGAGTGGTGCGGAAAAAGTCAGATTAAATAAATATTGGTTAATTACAACTGATGCTCTTCAAGTTTTTTTTTTAAATTATTTATTCTTTGACAAAAAAAAGGAAGAAAAAAAAGAAAATATGCTACTTAGATTCCTGGGGTAATGGAGGCATTTTACTTTATTTTGCCGACCATTAATAACAATAATGCTGGTGCAGATAGATGGATAGAGTAACAAGTAAAATTATGAATAGCAATTCACTGGAATTAGGTTAGTCAATTATTTGCATGGCTAACAAAAGGAACATTTAACCTATTTTAATAGCTTTAGTCTTTCTGAAGGATTCATCCAATTTTTTAAAATATTTTTTCTGTCAGCATTCTGTGAACTACTTCCAGAGCAAAGTTAGAGATAATTTGCTATTAGCATCCAGTGGCTGCTGCATGCAGCTTCCTTCCAAACTGTATAACCAGCTGATGAATATGAAATTCACTCTCCCTGGCTCTGTGCCTTCAAACAATATGCAGCTTTTGGAAATACAAAGAAACCAAGGTGGCCTTCATCAGATCCTGCCAATAAAGGACTACATTCCCTTTTTGTTGGCCAAATTTTGCATGAAACCATTTGCTTTTCTAATAAACAGTGTTTCCCTCTCATTACAGGATGCTGGGAGGTCAAACCCATGTAATGGAGGACAGGAATGGAGGCGATTAAAGCCTGTTTTTAATAGGCCCATGGAATGTCACCTCCAAAGACAAATGAGGCCAATTAGCGGGCAAGTGTTCCAATGGAATATTCTTAGTTTACCGAACAAGCGTGCTCATCAATTCAATTAAAAATAAAACATGCAAAAATACACCCCTGAGTACTTACTTGCAGTAGCGTGGAACTTGTGAAAATCTGATGATACGTTCTGAATCTAACTAAATATGCCATCACACGCAATATTTCTGTGGAAATATTGTACACGAAAATAATGATTTGTCACCCAAAGTAGGGCTCTGTGCACCCAACTTCTATCCAAATGGGGGATGTAAAATTTTTGCCGCAATTTCAACAAGTCATTGGGGTTTCAGTCCTCAATGCCGACCCTGGAACACTGCCTTGAAAAAAAAAGCTCTGACTTTATCCATTCTGATTAGCTTAATGATGTGCATTCATTAGCTGCAGTAATGACTCCTGTTCAAACTGAAAGAGCTGGCAGAGGCTGAAAATGATTTGTGTGCAGTGCGGTGTGAATACTCAAAATAATCTTGAAAAAGAAGAACAAAAGTGAGGTATGCCAGCATTTGATCTTAGGATCCTGCTTTTTCTAAGATCTGGTATGAAATAATTACCCCACCTGAAAAGGGTGAAGTGTTGCTTTTCATGGCATTTGTTTGCCTGTGTCTTTGTTTGTTTACATGTTTGCCTGTGAGCAGTGTGGAGCAAAAACGGTTGGCTCAATATACTCAAAATTCTGAGGAGAGATGAGCAATTGTCCGCTGATCACCTTGTGAAATTTTGGACTGAATTAAGGTCAAGGTCGAGGTCAGCGAAAAACTGAAATTTGATTTTTCATAATAATTTATTTAAATTTGTTCCAATCAATTGCTACCTGATTCAAATTTTTCAGTTCTGCTTCCGCATGGTATGATGTCATTACGTTTGCTAGCTTGAACGGTCGAATGTTCGGAAGGCTCCTAGGTTATTCAACACCTGAAGCACTAGATGTCCTCAGGTGCAGTATGTTGTGTCTAACACCAGTTGTAATACCAATATAATATGTTCTGTATGTCCATAGAAATTGTTTTAAATGAACAAAAAAGTATGAAAACACCATTAAATTTAGAACAAAAACAATGATCAACACTGTCATTACTGAAAATTGACAGGAGACAGATGACTGTAGATCTGTCATCATTCCTTTGGGTGAATCCAAAATATAGGCCAGAGTGCTTTGATGACTCCTTGGGTGAGTTTACTTCATATTTTTCACAGGCTAGAGGGCAGATGACACATTTTCCTATTTTATACTATTTAATAGGAGTTGCTAACTGAACTTTTCTTTTACATCATGGGGGGATGCCACAAGAGAGGAACTTTTTTTTTTTTTTTTTTTGCAAAAACAGGGGATGTCCCTGCAAATGGTGGGATCTTCTGAATCTCATGAGCCTTAGGAAACTTCCTGATTGTAAACCTAGCCAAAGGACGCATAGAAAGAAGACACAGGTAACATGGCGTTATGACAGAGCCTGAGTTCAGCTAAATTGAGCATCTAGTAAGTGACTGAATGCCCCTGTGGTCTGGAGTGGCCATGACTATAGGTAATGGGCCTTTAGATTGCATGGTGCTCCTTTGTCTTTGTCACACTGGCAGCCCTGTTAGAAATGGGATGCAGATTTTTCATACCCTTGAGCATCTTGTCATCTCTGCCACAGTAGCTTGTTATATATCACAGTGACAGCATGCCATAGCACAGATAATTTAATCTACACCAATGCGCCATAGTCCTCTACTTGGCAAAAGCTTGATAAAACTGTCAGGGTGCAAAAGAGGGAGTCAGGATTGTTTCCTTGTGAGGGTCTGCCACCTTCTCCCTGACAGGATGAATGCACCTCAGCAGCACAAAGAGAGTTAATCACACTCAGTGGATAAAGAAAATGCATTAAGTTTTTAATTTCACAGTGCCTTAAATAGTCTGCAAGATCTGCACCCAGGTGATGGACACAAAAGAGATGTAACTATACCTTGGCGATGCTTATTGTCTGATTTAATCTTAAACTAGCGTCTACAGTCATTTTGTGCTTGAGAGACACCAAGGCCCGAGTCAGACTGAGGACCCAATCAGACCTAATTTAATAACATGCTGACTTTTTTCAATGCTGTAACCAAGCCTGAAGGGTTCTCATAGCAGAATGGTAATTGCACCGACCAAAAAAAAAAAAAAAAAAAAAGCAGCAGTTAATTATATTTCACTTACTGTTACATGCTTTTTGCACTTGGAACTACCCTTTCCCGAGCCATCTTTCATGAGCATTCCAGAGTGAATGAAGAGTTTCTCTTTGTCACTGACTTTCTGAATTTTACCTTTAAGTTTTTTTTTTCTCAATCTGTGCTGCTTCACACTGGTCCAATGGAGGGAGGGGCCTAATGTGGAGATGTTCTATGCAAAGCTTCAGGATCTAAAGCTTCAGTTAGATGCAGTGGCTCCACTCTAAGGCTCTCATCGTTATCGCTCTGCTAATAGGCTCGCCAGATGACTGAATGTTGTCCCAGCCTAATCCTCCCTTTTTGCTGGTATATACAA